AGAAGGCTGATAGAAGAGCTAAGGGATTTAATAGTTGTGTTCAAAGGAGTAAAAAGAACAAGGAGAATGATCTCATTGTGTCTAAGACTCTAAAAACAGAGAACATGTAACACTCAGACAAAGTAAGACAAAAGCGTTAGAAAAAAATCAGGGAAATATTTTCTGATTGAGGTAAAAATATGTGTAATGTAACAGGAGTGAGATAAAATACATTATATACTAATGCAGCTGAAATACTGTAAGGAAACAATGAAACTTAAGTCTAATATATATTTTTTTATCCATAGACCTTCCCTGGGACCACAGAAGGACAGAGTGGAATGATCTAAATTGATTTTACTCATATTGTTCAGGAAGAAGCTTTGGGGGGCATTTGAGGGGTTAGAATAGCAGCAAATGATCACTCTAGGAGGATCTGAAAGGACATGTACATCAACATATGTAATTTTGTCTATTTTATTTCACCCACACATAGCCCTTCCCTCTTACCAGCTCTGATGTTATTTTTAAGTACATGCCTGTTTTTATTCTTTTTTTTTTGGATAAACTATTTTTAACCCTGTCTTATTTCCTCTTTTGGTTTATTATAATTTTTTGGTTTTGAAGTTTTATTTGTTGCTTGAGGGTTTACAGAATATGTCATTATCACAGAATACCTTCAAGTGATAGGTTATTTCCTACATTGTGTAACAAACTTACAGAGCAAGTGTTGTACATTGCTATGCATTATTCACAAAGGAGAATTATGCAGTCATAAAGAAGAATGATTTTATGACATTGCCAGTAAGTGGGTGGATCTGGAAGCTTTCAAGATAACTGAAATAATCCAGTCCCCCAAATCCAAAGGTCTAATGTTTTCTCTGATAGTTGGAAGCTAACCCACAATAATGGGTGGAGGTGGTAAGGCTAGGAATAGAAGTGTAGTAGATCAGAAAATGGAGAATGGAAGGGAAGGAAGGGGAATAAGCAAAGGAAATACAGTGGAATGAACCTGACATAGTTTTCCCATGAACATATATGAAAACAACACACTGAAACTGCCACCCTGCATAGCCATATGTTCTAACTTTCCCTGTGATTTCTTATTTGATATATGGTTACTGAGATGTGCTTTATCCCCCAAGTATTTAGGGCTTTTCATTGCCATCATGTTGTTATTGGTTTTCAAATTCTATGTTGGCATGATAATATATTCTGTACTCTTTTATTATTTTAAAATTTATTGGTATATTTGATGACTAAATACACAAAAAGTAACATCCAGTGGCTTTCCAACTCCCATGTAACATTATCAACTGGCTCTCAGTTCCCTTGCCCAAAGCTACTTGTATCAATTATGTTTCTTTTAAGTAAAATGACATCAGTGTTAGGATAAAGAGCATTTTCTTAAAAAGTGGTCTTCTCAGCTGCTTTGAAGAGACCTTGCTGCTACCCAAGAGTCCAGTGATTTGGAGCTCACTGTCACTCTTAGAGGGTTTGAAGATGCTCTAAAACTGAGCAAAAGTTCGGACTTTCCATTTCCATTCCAGACAGGGTTGCAGGAAAGATGTCATAATCAGAGCTGTCATTTATCTTATTCTGAAATCACTCTGAAAAAAGGAGTAGACAACTGTGGGCACCAGGAGAAAAAAATTAACATGTGTGTGTGTCAAGGAGCGGGGCCTCTTCATGATCCAGCTATCCAGATA